ATATATATATATATATATATATATATATATGTGTGTGTGTGTGTGTGTGTGGTATGTGTACTGACACACTTTATAATTCATTTAAATTACAACAGATAGTATAATATTAATAAGTATATTAGGAAGGAAATTATTCACAGTTTGGCCCCGTAATCAGTGTATATTATGAGATGGTAGTATCCTAACATTGTAACACTAACAGTAGGCTAACAGACAATAGAGAGGCTGCCCGATGTAGAGCAATTCAAGGTTTATTTTTACGTTACTTTTCATAAAATTAGGCCTTGTCTTCTTAAAAAACGTTATAAAAACTAACGATGAAACCCATCACATAACTCACACTGTTACAATTTTTGAGTGGAAATTCTCAGCCTACGGACATTAAAAATCTTGTCATGTTAAGTAAGCAACTAATCACCACTAGGCATTTATAAATTACATGCACGTTAAACTTTAGTAACTCGTCTGCTTCAGTACTTGCAAAATCTGCCTTGATATAACTAACAGTAACTTAGACATGTCACAATAGTTTTTCAAATGTAAAACTGAATCCCCTAAAATATATTTCTAATTAAAATAAATAATACAAGGTAAACAGGCTGGAAATAACGTGTTTTAGACATGATATAGTGATAAAAATAAGTTTCTTATAAATTCAACTTCATTTTCAGTCTTACTTTTAGTTTTACGAATTTAAGAATAATTAACTATAATTAAAATCACCGTATCAACAAAACATATTTTAAAATTAAAAAGTACATAATGATATACTGATAAATTGTAATAAAACCAATTGAAGAAACACCAAAACTACCTTTACTTTGAGATAGATTCCTGTTTCTTCAGTTACATTTAAAGGTAAGACTGACACAATCTAGTAAAATATGTTTTTAAAATACTGACACAGAACAATAACCTTACGTTCTAAGTTATTATTAACTCATAGTAATACCAGAACCAAAAACACTAAAGATCCTTAATACAATATAGATGGCGGGTCAGTATGACTTGGCTGTTGTTTTATTTGGTTTTATTACTTTCAATTATGAAACAAATACATGTATATTTGCGAATAATTATTATCTAGTTCCTTTCACTGACGTTATTTATCTAATAAATCAACATTGCAAAAGAATATTTTACTTGCTAGGAGACAAACTGAAAGAAATAATAATCTAACTTACATAAAAGCTAATGTGTGTGACGTCACGTTAGGCCTGATTTCTCGAAATAGCAGGAGTCATAAAAGCCAAAATGTATTTATGCAGATAGAATAGTTCGATTACTGTCTGCCAATTACGATTTTAGTGACGGGGATGCAAGGTGGCCGTGAGAGGTATGTATGCCATGAAACCCTATAATTGTGATTGTTGATATAATAAGCCTAAAGTAAAGACCAAGTGTGGAATCACCTAGCCTAGAGCCAAGTGCATAAAATTTACCATGAAAGTAAAACACATCGATTCAATTTTAAACTTAAGTCGTTTCTGAATTAAACTATTTTCTGTTATATCACAAATGTTTTTAATAAATAAAAAAACCTCTTTAATCGACGGAGTTTCTATATTAAGAAATCAATAAATATTTTTCCAGTTTTGTTGTCTGTACATTTCCTTTTATACTTGCAATACCTAGACAAACAACAATATTAGGTTATACTTTTTTTGCTAAGCAACATGACAAAAAAGCCACTGTTGGAAGGTAGTGTCACTAAAACGCGCTGACTTTTCTATATATTAGAAGTTGTTAATCTAACTGATTTTTACCAATAATCATTCTATGAATACGCCACTAATTCATTTCATGAATGATCTTAATTTTGATTGGCTCACAAAGGAATTTATATTGATGTTTGACTGCCTCGACTGCACTTTTCTGCCTCTTTGTTGGTCAAACTTGATTTTGCAAAATTTATTTCTTACAGTTAGCTATAAAATGTGAGGTTAGGGTATACTATGAAGTGGGAGTCTTGGGCTGGGATGGAAAGGTTGTCATATAAGGGCAGGTTAATATCTCTGAAATTGCTTTCTCTGGGAAAATTAAGAGTTAGATGAGATTTGATGGAGATGCTTAAGATTGTTAAAGGATATGATAGAACTTACATGATCTTGTTTCGTGTTTAATGGTGAGAATGGTTGGACTAGGGGACAGAAATATACATTTTGGCAAGGTAGAAGCTATCTTAAGCTAAGAAAACTATATTTGTTAATAGTGGGGTGTGCTTTTGGAATTGGTTGCTTTCAGATGTGGTGGATGCAGATAATCAAGAAAGTTTAAGAGAAGGCTTAATAAATGTTTGAATGATAAAATTATTTTATGTATATTATATTTTAAATTTTAGTGTAGCGGATGGAATAGTCTAGATGGACTAACAGGTCCCCCATTGTCCTTAAATTATACGTATATATGTATCTAAACAATAGTGCAGCTTGCTTTGATGCATTGGTCAGAAACGTTAATAATACGATAAAAAATCTCGGACTCACAGATCACTCATTTCATTATGTGTTTTTGACCATTCTTTGACAACTGCAACTATTGTGGGATTAGTAGATACTTTATTCCTATTCACTTGTATGAATAAGCAAACATTTCCATGGTTTCAAATTCAATTTTGTCTTCCACATCCACTGAATAACCATATCCAGCTTTTTAACAACAGACTGAAATATACAGCTAAACACACTGTAGTATTTTTTACAGAAATCAGACATCTCTTTCATGGCAGCTTTCTTAGTGTAATAGAATTGCACCAAATTCACACACACAATCTTCAGTACTAAAAGTAGTCTTAGGTTTGCTCTCTTCACCAAGCTTGCGTTTTCATTATCCAAAAGCCATGTTTATTGTACTGAACCAATAAACTCCTCCCAAGGAATCCAGAAATGCATCTGTTTGTGCTAGCAAAAATATGTTTACAAGTTTAAGTCCGCACATAGCCTTGGCATGTCTTCTTTCTTTTTTTGATAATCACTACTGGACATAACTAATTACTCTCCAAAGGTTGTATTAGTCAAACCTTCAGCATCCACTTGACCTCAACATTGACCATGTCTTTAATGTTCTATGAAAGCCAGTGTCGATGATATTATAGTTATCTGATCCAAATGGACATTTAGTAGCACAAACACAAGGGAAGGTTCGACAAGTAACTCAATACGTTTCTACCACTGTGTCAAACCTAAAGTACTTGAAGGATCCTCAGTTAGTGATCTTAGATTTTCTGGCAACCATGCAATAAGAATGAAACGGAACTAGATGTAGAGCTAGAGATCACAGTTGTATCTTAAACCCTATACAGTTCTCTTCTTCTTGTCAAAAGTCCACTTAGGCTAGTTCAATTGCCTTAGAATCCAGTTGACAAGACAAACTATTTTTCTCTACTTTTATCACAATAGTATCAGTGAATAATTCACTTACGTTGCCTCATGGGTTACCACAGTTGTATCCTGAACTTCCAATAATTGTCTTCTTTCCACCAACTGAAGCCTCTTTTTTTTGCCATTCATATTGTTACGACAGTAGAAGTCACGTGACGCTGGGAGAATGCGCGTTGCAGTTTCTCTAATCATCGAGGAACCCCGCGAACGTCCAAGTGTTGCTAGACGACCTCTTTTTTTTAATATATAAGCCTGGCGAGAAAACCAGCGGGATTGAAGAGATTGATTGGATATATAGATAATTGAGTCAAGCGAACAGTAGGCACTGAAAGTAAAGTGTGTGAATCACTGTGATTTATAGCGTGTGTTA